GGGGGGGGGATTCAGGGAAAAATCCAACCCCCCCCTGCACGTGAAGAGCTGCTTCCCCAAGAGGAATTAAATGAGGATCTGCGAACAGGGCTAAGCACCTACACGGTGAGGACACCAGTGAACAATCATTTGGAGGACACAGGATGGACATTATGGCTGAATCTCACCCTTCGAGGCCATGAGATTCACAACACCGCAATGGGATCCTCAGGCAGGACAAAGACCTGGGCAAGAGCATGCATAGGACTGTCCTACTCCTCTCTCAGCTCTTTCCTATGACTAATGTCATGACAAGGATCTTTAGTAGTTCCAGCTCATTACTTTAAGTGGAAGAAGTGGGAGCAAGGCAGCGCCTGGAGCTGGTTGTTCTTCTCCCCAATGGACTCTCCACACATGCCACAGTACAGCTCCATCTCCTCCACGCATTCATGGAACTTCACTACGTGGTCACGCAATTCCCGCTGCTGCCCTTTTGTGCGGTAGATCCTTTCACACAGGCAGTGGAGCTTCAGCAGGCCAAGCTGCAGGTGAAGGGCAGAAACAAGAAAAGTGAACCAGGTGAAGGCAGAGCAGTAACAGGAGTGGAAACCACTACAGCACCACCAGCCAGCTAGAGAAAGTTGCCTGAGGGATAGGATCAGTCATAAGGACATCTGGTCTCTCAGCACTTCCTGCCATTAATCCTACCTCTCTGTATCACAAAAGGGGACACCAGGGCAGCTCTTTTGTCAGGATGGTTTTCCAGAGCTATCCATGATATACACTGCATTTCATTTCCCTTTGCCTCTAGCTAGCACACAGTTCAGTGGCTGCTCAGAGCAACAGTATTTTTGAAGAGACCCCTAATCCTCTAGCTCTCTGCTTGTTTCATACCCCATTTTTACTGTTTCTCATTCCCCTTTGTCTATCCTTCTGTGACTCCTCTCTCACTTTTAAGGCTTGCACACTGATCATCATCTGTGCAACTGCCCACAACTACACACTTTGTAACAAAGCAAGTCTCAAGTATCTACTGGTTAATAGGGACACATTCATAAGCAGTAACAACTCTGGATACTTCAACACTTGTCTTCTTAGGTTGCCTGACACAAAACTATGGACACTGCTGAAGATAAGCTGTAGGATCCTACCTTGTTCCCTAGTCCCTCTGCCAGCTCCTGTGCCTTTTCAATGCTTTCCAGAGCCTGTGAATGGAGAGCATGTATCATCAGTTCTCTGTCTGATATATCAAAACCAGACTCCTATGAATGTCCTACAGGAATTATTGAAAGAGGTAAAGAGGTACAGAGTAGAATTTGGATAAACAAGCATCCCTGCAGCTCTGGAGATGCAAGATAGCTGTCTGGCAGATTTTCCTCCCCTCCCAAAAGTTCATCCATAAGAAAAGTTTGGTTTCTGAAAGACCACAAATAATCCAAGAGCTACATTTCTGTTCATCATTTCTTATGATATTGGCAGAGGCTGGTGTTTCCAAGCAGACAAAATACAGAGTTATTTAAACTCAGTCACACATGGTCAGTGGGGTTGGTACGAAGCATAAGCAAGGCAAGCCTTTTCCCCATCCTACCCTACAGGCTCAATAATTGTTGGGCAACTCCAATTTCACTTGTCCAAGAGGGAAGGGAAGGGATCAGCACCACCAACACACCATGCTTTTCCATTTTTTCCCTGCTGTGCACATACCCACGGTGTCCTACTTGCACATGGTGTGATGTAGGAGTGTACTGCTCTCCATCTTTTTCAACCTCAAGGAAAATATTTAGCATAGCAGCTGTTACACCAAATGAGTCCCTACTTTACCCTAGATGCCAGAGTGTTCTGATCATCAGTGTCTGTTTTCCCAAACTATTGAGATCTGCTTCAGATTTGTCCAAGCAGAAGAAGTAGTCTCCCTTATGATGCAGTATTTTTCAGGAGGAACATGATAAATTTCTCCCCTATAATTTGTCATTACTGCTATTCTAAGAGAAGAGGACCAGATGAGATGAAAGGATGCACTTTGAATGCAGAGGAGGTGGCATTAGATGTGTGGTGGCAGCAACAGCCTAGGGTAGGGAACCTGTAGAAGAGGGAAGCAGAAACTGAAGGCTAGCAGGTACAACGTAACTGAGAGCTGTGCCTAGGAAGAGGGACTGTGTACTGGAAAACCCTGAAATTAATTACTGGGACTAACAATGAAAGTGAAGCAATGTGAGGTGGGGGAAGAGATGCTGAGAAGTCCAGGGGACAGTTTGTCTTGGACAGGAATATGAGACTGCACCAGAGTTTAGGCAAACAGGCTGTGAACAGCAGCCCTGGAGAATCTGCAATAGTATTGACTACATGCAAGGAAAGGGACTAACTGGCCAAGGAGACCAGGACAATGCATGAAGCTAGGACAAGAACAGGGAATCTGCAAGTGGAAGTTCGCAAACTGCTTTATTAGGTAACTGATATTGGGATGAGTAGCGTTAGAAATGGAAACTGCAGAGGGTGAGTATTCAGGGCTGTGAGATTTGAGGAGGTCATATTCAATCTGGGACAAGGGGCATAAACTTCTTGACCATGAGGACAAACTTCCCTCTAGTGCCTGGAACACAATACAAGATTCATCTACTCCTCTCTTCTTTTGTGGGTTTTGGTGAGATTAGGACTGTGCAAAGCCCTCAGCAGGCTCTCACAGGTGAGAGCTGTGTGTGGTATCAGGGGTTGGCAACAGCTGGAGGTGGGGTCAGTGAAGGTAGGGGTTTGATGAATGCTCTGAATATTCTCTTCTGTAGAGGCGTACCTGCTGCGTCCTGTCCTGTTCTTTTGAATACAAGATACAAGGCTGGGAAGGGATTACACTGAGTAAAGTTTTTAAATCCACAGTTTCTTCTTCCACCGCAAACATAGTGTTTACTTACTGAGACTGCTTAGTGTATCTCACCTGACTAATTCCTTGCTGTGGGCAATTCAGATGATGACAGCACTTTGAACTTGTCTTTTCTGACGGACACATACTTGATTTCCTAATATCTGCAATGGTTCATTTGAGCTAAAATTCTTCGTGTCTCATAGGAGCGATAAGAGTGAATCTTCATCATATCTATACCCAAAGCAGCATCCTGATGTGGCACTGTGCAGGCATTCCCAGTTGTTCAGCGCTAGTTCAAGGCTAACTTCTGAGCATCTTGTTCTGCAGCCCAGTAACATTCCTCCAGTACAATCTGCGGCGTCTAGTGCAATCTGGATTTTAACACACGTACACTTCCTACGCGTTTTCAAAATAAGTAATTTCACCCCCTTGTACTCTATTGATCGGTTGTCCATTCCCAAATGATTTTCTGCTCTCATTTCTCTGTTTCACGTCACAGCTTATGTACCTTCAAAGTTTCTCTAGGAATTTGATGCTGTGTTTGTCTGCAAAGCACATGGTGGAGCCATAGAGCTGTCTAAACATCATCACTACCACAATAATGAGCTTAGTCATAGAGCTAAAAGGTAGGCAGTGGAATCTATTTCAGAGCATAAGCATAATCTGATTGCCTAGGATGGCAGGAGTAGGCTTCCTTCCCTCAGTGCTGGGTTCTCAGTGTAGTGCTTAAAAGTCATCAGGACTGACTATTGAGACAATTCTGTAAGTTAGCAGTCTGACTCAGAATGGATGTTCTGTTGGTAATGAATTTCTCGGCAAGAGGGACCATTCAGAGAAATGTAACAGACCTTGCTGGTAGAACCAGGGGGTACAGGGCTCTCCTGCACTTTGATGGGCGTACAGTTCAGAAAGAGACTCTGCTCTAATGTTATTAACAAACGTCTGTAGAAAGAAGTTTGTAACTGACCTTGTCCAGCTCCTTCTGGATCATCCAACACTTAGTCACTCCTAGAAGCACCTGGACCAGGCCCAGGCGGTTTCCAATCTCTGTCATGATGCTCATGGAGGAATCATACCGAGGAAAGGCTGTCTGCAGAAGCAGGGAGGAAAACACATGTTTTGCTACAGCCTGCTTTTCACACCCTCTGGCTGTCCCCTCTGCCCTTCCTGGCAGGAAAGGGCTGTACCTGCACGTCTTTGCGACTGCGATGGATATCTGCAAAGCAGAGCAGACACAGCGCTTGCAGAGGCCGGTCACCATGCTGCAGGGCAATCTTCATGGACTCCTGAAAGAAATTGTCTTTGGTCAGTAGAAGAGCTTGTTCCTGGCTCAAAACAGCAGGGCTGGGACTGTGCACTCCAGCCACTGAAAGGTCAGCTCCAAATAAATGGTGCAGTCTTTTCAACGCAAGGAAAGTCTTGTTCACGTGTTCCCAACCAAGAGCCATTCTTAGACCCCAACTTTTGAGCCCCCCTGGGCTACTGAAACCACAGCTCTAAGACCGGGAGGCAGCAGGAACATCTAGGGTGAAGTGTGAATGCCATGGTATCTCTCATCCTCCCAGTTCTGTAGGCAAGATCCCCTTGCAGAGACCTCTGACAGCTCTGCATCTGCCAGCACCCTGTACCTCGCAGCAGTCCATGGCATCTGCCAAGCGCCCCAGCTTGCGGTAGGCCACTGCCATGTGATATTGGCTCATCGCACGGTACTTCAAGCTCCAGCCTTTTCCGTAATCATTCACCAGCTCAGCTGCTTTACATGGGAAGAACAAGGCTTTCTCATAGTCCTGTAAGGCAGACAGCAGACAGACACCAGTTACAGCAAAAATAAAGCTAAAAGAAAGAAAAAAATAACCCAACCATTTTTTATTTACTAACACTGCAACAGCTAGCAGATTTCTGTACACCTTTCAACCCCTGCTGCTCCTTTTCCACATGCCCTGTTTCACAAGATGTTTTCACTGGATATCAAACCCAAGGTGGAATTACCATATACAGAAATCATATTACTCTCCAGGTTCAGGACACTGGGGCAATGACACAGAAAATGAATTTTAAATAGTATGCCATCAGCTTTACTCTGCAGGAACCATTTACTTTCCCTCTAGAACCAAAAGCTGAAAACTTTATTTGCTCTTACATCATCTCTGCTTTCAACATCTACATGGAGCCCACATGTTCTCCATATAGTGAGTCAGGATCTTTGAGAGGCTGTTTATCCATTATTGCAGGAAACAGGAACAAAAAATCATGGCCTCACCAAATCCGCAATAACACAACATATTTTCATTTTTAAGCATCTTTCTGCATTAAAAGTGTATTAGAAAGAAATCTTATTTTACAATAAGCACAGAAAACTGTTATCTAAATATCTAAAACCATTCACAACTTACATGAGACTGCAGAAATGAAAAAGTCCTCATATTTTTTAATTCTCCAAGATGCATGAAGGAAACCACAAGTTTTTAAAATTGCCTTTCTCCCTTCTTATTTCATACCTTAAAAGTACCTGTACAACGTTCTTTATTCTGTACCTCGTTTGGTATTACGAGGGAAGTTTACTGAGAGTTTTCAACAGTTCAGTTCGTGAGTCTGCCACTCGGGACAAGACCCAAGACGTGAGGAAAAACTATTTGTTGCTGTTTGTAATAGAAGTTGGAAGTGGCCCAATCCCCAGCTCCTGCCTGTTTCCGCTCATATGAATAGCTATTTGCCTGAGATAGTGGTAGAAACAGATAGAGAATGCACGAGTTCTGGCTGCCAGCCCTGTGTGCTGACAGTACCTCCTCTGGTGTGATCTTCTTTGAAGCTAAGTGTGAACTTTCCAACACACAGGAATATTCACAGCCGCTTCTGCTGTGCTCTATAAACATTACACTAATCCTCCCATCCTCACTGTGAATGACAGAACTCAATGATGATTTTACAGAGAAGAGATTTTAGCTTACAATGCTCTCTCAGTACTTCACATTCTATAGTAAAGAAATAAGCTGAAATTCACACCATTTCCAATTCTCTCCTGAATCTGTAATGAAACAATCACCCTTCTGTCCCTTAGGTCACCGCACCTTTATCTGGGCATAGAAGTTCCCGAGGCTGCAGCAGACTCGACACTCCAGCATCTTGTCATCGTTGTTGTGTGCGTAGCGTAAAGCTTTCTCAAAGCACTCCAAAGCCTTCTGGAAAATGCTGAGGCCCAGGAAGGCATTGCCCATGCTGAGGCTCACCTGGCCGTTCAGCTGCAGGCTCACGGTGGTACCCTGCATGTTCAGGCACGTCTTACAGTAAGAGATTGTTTTCTGGAATTCACAGAGTTTCTCATTGCTGCGAGCCAGGTTTAGGTAGCTCTCGGTAAGGTAATCCGGGTCTTCCAGCTCCCGTGCTGTGTCAATTTGTACCACTGCAAACTAAGTAGAAAAGACAGTGTTTGTGAAAGTGTGTCACTTACTGAAATACAGCTCAAACACCCACAGGGTAGAACCCTTTACTGGAGAAGTGCCTCATCTCTGAGCACAGCAGAGAAGCCCAGCAGCACGGACTGAGCAGCACTGTATCCACTGAGTGGTTATCTAGTGGTTTTAAAGGTCTGTGAGCAGTCTGAGGAAACCTCTCCCTCTCTCCACACCATCTCTGGGGCAAGGAAGAGGAACTATGCTGGTGGTTAGTGGAAACAAGCTGTTAAATGGCACTACAGAGAAGCAGGTAAAGAAGGAACCATCTGACACAATGCAGCTCAGTTTTCTTGCACTCTGATTAATTTATTCCACTTTCTCTGGAATTCTTAAGATCTCAAAGTACTCTATTAATAAAGGAAAGTAAGGGAGCTACTTCTTCCATCAATTTTATACTAACAAATTGCAGTCTTAACAGTTTTTGTTCTACAGCCTTCAGGATTCATTGCATACAGCTCTCTTAAATGATCTGGAGTCTTTGTTTTAGACTGCAATGTCTTATGAGTATGGACTCTCTTCTATGTTTTGTGATGATAAATAAATATTTAGCAATTTTCTCAGAATGTGTTTTCATTAGACATTAGCAGTTAGGTTTATGAATAAGAATTCCCTAGGGCACAAACTGCTTCCTTTTTGTATAATGGCAACATGTAATAATTTAAGCTACTAGAACATTTTACATTCCCCAAAATAAAAAAAAACAAAAAACAACCATAAATTGCATACATTTGGGTATCTATGTTCTCAGTTTCTTTTACACTTTAGAAAAGCTGCTATGTGGACCCAGTAATGTGCATTAGCTCATGCTTCCCCGCATTCCCTTACCTTTGTACAAGTTCTCCATTATTTCCTGATTGCCACAGCCTCTTTCCTTGGTGTGCAGTAATTTTTCTCTCCAAGAGAGGTTGAGCATCATAACCCTTCTTAAATCACAGTTAATTTCACGCCTTTAGTTCTCACCCCTTTTCTCCTGTTATTTCCTCTCGCAGTGGTTTGTTGCTAAAGTTCCCCTTCCTCTAACTTTGATCACTCATGGTGTAAAATCTTCAGTTTGACTGAAGCCATTTTTCCTTCCTAATACCAAGAAGAACTGAAATTCACCTACTCTGACCCCGCTTTCTGTTCTCTTCTCAGGTAACAAAGGAAGGTTCAGGTATACTATGCATGCTCCTTTGCCTGTTTCTTGTTTTCCGTGAAGCCTGCAGTATTTCGTTCAGCTAGCCACATCTTACCTTTTTCCTTCTCTCTTCCCTACTCAGTCTGTTGTTTCTGCCACCACCTAATTCCACATCGCTTATCAGAATTGTTTATCTTCAAATCTTTTCCAAGTGTATCCATGCTCCTCTTTTACATCCTAAGTCTTTGGGTGTAACATAGGGCTTTGACACATGCATGGGTTTACTGGAAAGATGTGGCACCCCCATTCTAAACAGAGCTACCAAAAAGTTTCCAATGAGATGTGGGCACCCCCTTCATGTTCTGTGCTAAATGCTGAATGATTACCAGTCTAGTAAGAGGCAACCAAAACCATCAGGACAGGAATATCATGGCCCTTTAGCGAGACCCTATTTCAGGCTGAGATAGTTTCTTAAGACTATTACAACATCCTCTTGCCTTGTCATCTAAATTCTTGAGTCACCCTCCCAAACACTGCCTGCTGCTCTCTATACTCATCCTGTTACTTCTCAGATCCACACATCAGCTGCTTTTTGTTCATCTGATCCTCATGCTCTTGAAATGTAACTTCAGCTTCTTTTTACCACTCTTCCATCAAGCCCCATGTCCCTCTTCTATGCTGTCCTGACAACTGGGAGCCCCTCTCTGACCTCAACTGCCAGACGCCTCCTGGAACATCTCTCAACCTCCCTGCCAAAAAAGCATCCCACTTCCCTCTTCCCCCTCTTAATCAGACCCCTTGCAAACACATAATTGTAATTAAAACCAGTGTAAGATCTGTATTAGCTATCAAACAGCAGTTGAACAAGGTAAGATATGTCTCCACAAAATTGCTGCCTATTCTACAGAATACACTGTTTTCATACTTTTTTTCTGAAACCTGGTAACATGGAATGCCTGTATGTGGGGAGTAAGTCAAGAAAGGTCCCCATGATTAACTGGAGAACCTCAATAACCTGGGAATCCTGAGGGACCAGACCCAATGAAAAGTAGTATTCTGTGTATCTTGTGGGCTGAAGCTATTGGTCAGCACAGTGATTACAGCAGCCCACAATATGCACTCAATAGCTGGTATATTCTGCTATATACACAATAAACCCCCGGTTTCACATTCTAATCTCCAGCCACTCTGTAGTGGGTGCGACACAATGGCATGCATTCATCTCCAGTTCGCCTTACCTTCAGCATATCTTTGTATCTGCCCATCTCTGCATGAGCAGTGATGAGGCAACCCAAAACCCGAAACCTGCCAGCAGGATCCGCAGACTTCTCCAAAACCCTCATCCAGACTTGCAGGGCCTTTTCGGTCTGATTAGACTGGTAAAGATGGAGTCCTTTCTCTATCTGCTGCTTTGTCTGGTCCTGACCCATCTCCCCTGCATTAAAAAGCCTCATACAGTAACCTCTAAGGACAGCAAAAAGGAGGTGCATAGAAGAGAACACACCATCAAATGCCCTAATAGAGGAGGGCGGATTGTGTGCTCAGAAGCCGGCTTGGAGCCACAAAAGCCCAGCCATGTCTGGGGGCTGGAGCTGTGGGAGGCAATGGCAAGAAGTGGCTGCTCAGCACTGCAGGCAGAATCCCAAATCCACCAGGCAAACGTCTCGCTCGCTAGGACTCCATCAGTGCCTTCGCCTGTCCAATCCCATAAACAAAGCAGAAAAGCACAACAAGGAGAGAAAGAGGAAAAAAAAAAAATCTCAAGCGAGAGGAATGAAACTCAATCTGAGCAGCAGCCAGCGCTGGTCTCCTCCCCACTGGCCACAGCTGCGCCTGCCAGTCCGGCTCACGTGGCTCCCAGGAATGCTCCTCAGGCTCCCCAGTCCCAAGGTCACAGCCAGCCAGCTGCCCACCCCTGCCCGCCAGTATGCAGCTTATAAATACCCCAGGGAGAGACAATCAGCTGCAGTCACAGGGATGTCTCCGTTCTCTTCCTCCCTGGTCATCCCCTTTTACAAGCACTGGTGGTGGTGGGCTGGCTGGGAGGCAGCAGCCTCACGTAGGATAGTAGCTTTAGGAACAATACATGCCTTAAAAAGTCAGGAATGAACTGTAAGGCTGCAACACGTACGCACGTGCAGTATTATGCTTACAACAATGTGCCTGATACTTTGCCAGGCACAAAATTCAGGCTCCCTTCTGAGGGCCTCAGCTGGCAATACAGCCTGCTTCCATGGACACAGGTCAGCTCTGTCACTGATGTGCTGCAAATATGGCACTGACTTCTTCATTTCAGGGACAAGATGCAGCTAGCCATCCTGAAAAAACTTTGTTCATGACTGCCTCTGTTGCTCACTGCCATCAGATACCTGTGACAGTCCCCCAGGAGTTTCAACGGAAGTTGCCAAAGGCAGCGCTGAAGTTCTGCATCCAGAACTTGATCTTTTACAATGAATGACAATAATGACCCAAAGCAACAGATTTCTGCACCTTCTGATTGCAGAAGAGGATTGTTAGCCCAATTAGAAGATAGCTTTAACTCTCCTACACACCTCTGAAAGAGTAAGGTTAGACTCTAGGAGTAGTTCCTGTAGAAGTCAAGTTTCGTACCCCCACTGACGTGCTGCATTTTTGATGGGCCCAGTCTTGGTTATCTATAGATTTACTCTGCCCTTCATAAGAAGAGATACCAAACTTGGGAGGCGGGGAATGCCTCAGGGAACTCTAACATTATTCAGGTAACAGAAGTCACAGGCATCCATTTAGGGATCCTCTTACAGGCCAAAGAGAAGAACTGGCAATTCAGAGTTTTACCAACAGACACCCATGCAGAAGCAGACACGTCTCCAGCTGCCTCCCTGCTTCTATGTCAATTTGGTGGCAGCTCTTCCTTGAGCAAAGGTAAATACCACCAGAAACATCTCACAGGCCACCAGCTGGACCATTCTGGCCTGGGTCATGGCTGCCTAAGGAAACACAAGCCCAAGAGAGCCTTCCTGAGGTAATGTGGCTAAGGAAAGCAGGACACAAAAGAGTAAGGAGCCACAGTCTGCCTGTAGGCTTTACATCATAGCAGTCATGATCTTAAGAGATTCCATCCATACCTTTATCCAAAATTTCCTCAGAAAAGTATTTTAAAAAGAAAAGGTTTTTGAGTGGTAGAAGAGTCTTGCTACATTCAGACGGATTCTCTTCCAGGAGCTATAATATTTGCATTATTTAATTTAGCGTTGGTTTGCAGAGCAGTAATGTGCTAGATGATGTTTCAGCATAGAGTCTGTGTACTCTGAAACTCTGGAACTATAAGCTATGGAAAATTCTATAGAAGGCTGAAGAAAAGTAATGCTGAGACACAGCCAGTTAATGTGCAAAAATCACTTCAGCAGCACTGTTAAAATTATTACCTAGTTACTTTATATTTTAGGGCTTCCGTAAAAATCTGATTTGGAAGTAAAAAAAGTCTCTCCTCCTTGCAGTGATTCTTACATGTCTCTCTAGAGGTGGGTGCTGGGATGAACACAAGATGCAGAAGAGCGATCCCCATGGAAGCACTGCTAATGGTGAGGCCATGAGATTTCTGGACTTGGAGAAGTTAAGAGGCCAGGGACAGCCTCACTGGAGTCTACTACATAAAAGAATCAGGCCAGGACTCAAGAAGGAGGAAAACAAAAATCACATCATTCTTTGCTGGAGCAGACTACTTTGCAAAATTAACTTTCCACAAGTAACTCAAACTCATCCTGATGCTTTTGGACCACTTCACCAAAGCACTGCTCCCCTCAATATTCACTCTCATATCCCACAAAGACTAGGCAAAGTGAGAAGAAGATGCCTTGCAGTCTGACAAAACCCACCTAACAGGAGCGAAATGGTCTGTCCCGCATTTGTTCATCACACTGTACTTCCTTGCTTTTGAGTTCTCCTATGAAACAGCACTTAGTCTCTTAAGGATCAACTCACAACTCACCTACTGAGAAAAAAACATCCTAGTAAAAGAAGGGTTAGAACCATCAAGCTCAAATTAGTAATTTTCAAAAAACAGAAAGAAGCATACTCTGATACAGAACATACCACTCTGAGCCCAATGCGGCTGCCTAAATAAGGAGGGGTAAACAGGTATAATCACCAAGACACTGACTACCTGCGCTGCTTTGAGAAAGCAATGGCAGAATAACCATCAGTCTGTGGCTCAGGATCACTCTAGTTCGTACAAGGTTCAGGTATGGCTTCTACAGTAAATGATCCACAGTTTCTTCTCAGGAACTGCAAACAAGTAAGCCTGCAAGGTGCACGGAAACACCAAACTGGGGAATCTCACCTGTCATGCAGTGGAGCTATATGCGCAGTGTAGCTAATCACGTAGTCACTTCTTCAGAGTGACCACACTGAGCGGCTCGTCCTCCTCCCCACTGCTCTTCATCAGTGACTCCTGGCCATATGAAGACAGCAGAACATGGCTGGTAAAGTCAGGAAGATTGGAGACTGGAGTCAAAACAAGCAGTGAAAGGTGGAGGTGGATGTGAGAGGAAAAAAAAATTCTCCTAAAACATTCAACATCAGGACTTAATCTACAGGTTTGTGTATTTGCTATTGATGGTGATAAATGTAACAACTCAGGTGAAATGCTGATTATTTTCAGAGATTAATACACTAGCTCTTATTTGTAGTTTAATTTTCTACTGATTGGTGGTGGCCTTTTAAATTAAAAACCTTCAAAAAAAAAAAAAACAAGCCACCTACCCAGAGGAATCTAGTATCAGTTCTGTAAGATGCAACTGACAGAGCTTTGATTGCATAAGATAAGGCTCGCCACCCTTTGGCACAAGCAGGAATCTTCCATCTGCCTAAACAAACCCTTTTTCTGATACAATTGTTTCTCTCCATCCTTCACCTCAGCCATCTCTAATCTGAAATCTCTGCAGCCTCCTTTCTCAACAGCTGCAAATTAACTGTAGGGATCCCAGCACGCTCTGCAACAGGTGGCTCAGCGCCTCACTTTGCAGTTGGTGCACTGCGGGGAAAGGAATGCAGCGCTGAACCCTGATGCTTGTGAGTGCTCTCAGAGTTACAGTCATGTAGGAAGTAATGGGGTGAAACAGAGTGTGCCAGATAACAGAGGAAAAGGACAGGGAGGAGAAACATAGCTGCCCTGAAAATGCTTGCAGTCTCTGAGATGCAAGACAGCAGGAGGAAGGAGTAACATTACTGAATTCTAGGAGCTTTCAGAAATGTGGTAAAGTCATGGCCATTGTGGTACTTTCCTTCTGAGAGAGGCAGTATTAATGTCAAACTCATGGCAAGTTTCTGAATGAATTCTACTTTGCCTACATAAAATATTTTTTTTTACAACTCATTTTATTTCAAATGGTTAACATATCTTAGTTCTAATAGTGAAGCAGGTAACTTTTGCTTATCACAAAGCCTGAGCTAGTAAATAATCCCAACCCATCTGGCTTTTCCCTGTGTAGTATTTCCAGGAGCAGGAGCACTGAGGCTGATACCTTCACGCTGTAGAACCAGGACAGGTCCAGCAAGCTTGGCCGCGTTCCTGGAAGGGATAAGGAGGCAGTGGAGGGTATGGGGCTCGTAGGAGCGCTATGAACTGGTGCCTGTCTAATCCTACGCGCCACCATGCACACATGCTGTTCCTATATAGCTGAAGTCTGGTGTTATGATGAAGTTATTTAGCCTTTGAAACACCATGAAGCACAGTGCACGGATAGGCAAGTGGCTACGCAGCACCAATTCTGTGAGGATGGATATGCCCACACCTCACTCCCAGTGTATCACGTATTTGCATTATCCAAGATTCTCAGCTTTTCTGTATCTAATGTCTAAAGGGGACTTGACTGCCAAATGACACAAAATGGAGGCAAAAAAGCTTTTCCATTTCTACTCAAACTAGCTCATCTACACAGAGATAAAAATCCAGGGCTATAATGCACATCGAGAACAATGGTACCAGGCCGTGAAAAAACTTTTGTGTCTCACAGCTCAGAAGCTGGAAGATAGTTCTCTCATTCCTCTCCTCATCTTCCCACACTTGAACCCAAAAAAGAACCTCAAGTTTAAGACACAAATACAACACACAAGGACTCTTCTCAAACAGTTTAATAGCAAATAAACAAAGGAAGGTACCACACTTGGCATATACAAAATGACTTGTTGTCGGTGTGTCTGTGCAATTAAAACAGCTTTAAGTTGCCCTTTGGGACAAAAAGAAAAAAAAACCACACACACAAAAGGAAGAAAATTCCTTTAACACATACTCGCTCGTTCCAAACTTGTAACAACTCTTTTCATTTTTAAATCCACTACACAAACTCTGCGATCAGATCAGAAAAGCAACAAGTGCTCCTCTGCTTTTTAAACCATTAAAGTAAAATCCGTAATTCTCTAGAGAGTACAACACAATTTCACACAAAAAGACATTTTGTTTTGCAAATCAAAACAAGAAAAAAAAGGAACAGCTCAAACAAGGTAAAGAAAAGCATTTCTACGACTGAACCACGACTTTGAGTTGATTAAATCCCATTACTGCAGAACAGACTCTACATTTGGTCATAGTGGCAATTTGTTTTCTCGTCACATTGTGAATCACTTTACATTGTTTTCTAGTAGAAAAGGCAAAAAACTGTACAAAACCCCTAGTGTTAAATACAATGTTTGTACCAATAAAAAAGCCCACAGGTTTGTCTCCAAAATGTAAATTTTCTTTTTAAATTA